AGACTTTAAGATCCTGCATGTGATCTATGAGTGGTGATCGGTCTTACGGCACATTATGTCTCCTCCGGCGCAGGTGAATCTATAGAAGACCCAATACGGATTACATCTACTGCTGGCGATATTCTCGAAGCAGCAATCGTGGACGTGACAACACCTGGAGCAGAACACAAACAGGAATATGTAACTACATTATCCAATCACTAGAGACCGGTGACATCACTGAGAATGCAGCCTATCCATTCACTAGAGAGCGGTGACATCACTATTGACCAGTGACATCACTAGAAAGCGGTGACATCACTATTGACCAGTGACATCACTAGAAAGCGGTGACATCACTAGAGAGCGGTGACATCACGGAGAATGCAGCCTGTGGGGGTATTCAGCAGGGCCGGGGATATCTTACTCACCAGTCAATGTTGTCCACAGGCCACCCGCTCCCTCCGGCACCGCAGTGGCAGCCGTAAAATGCGTAGGAAACGATTGGCGCTCGGTGAACCACTTTCTCTATCATACTTCCAAACTGGATTAATCCGCCGTCTGATTGGACCAACAACGCTGGAGGGAGAGAGAGAGATTGGTCAGCGACAGAACACGCTCTCCATAAACATTCAGGTCTAACCGCACCACAGCTCATCAACCTCGCCGAGTCTCTCTCCTCACTGGCCGCCGATGCGGTGAGCAGAGCGGCAGAGGTTAAAAGTAACCCTGCCGCTCCGTGTACACAGTGAGAGGGGAGAGCTGTGCTGTGCTGTGCCATGCTCTTCCCCTCTCAGCTGTCACAGGAGTTCCAGCACCGCGCTGTGCTAGAGCCCCTGTATTGGAGGTGACAGGGGTCAATAGAAGAGAACCTGTCACCTCCAATTTCTATCACACAGGGGGATTGTTAGCTCCTGTGTGATAGCAAAAAAAGTTAGGTGAAAAAATATAAAAATACATTGATTTAAAAAGATTGTGAAACGATCGGTTATCAGTCGTCAATAATCAATGGAGCAGTTTTGGGGCTCATTCACACTGCGTCAAAGTCCCCACACCGCGCAGAGCTCTGCGCCCCCCCGGAGACATATGCGTTATAGAAATCAATGACAGGCTGGTAAAATGCTGCCCCAGGCGTTAACTCGAGTCCCCGGACGAATCTCCGATATTTGTATCTCTGTCTCCGTGCTTTGCTGTCCCCCCCCCCCGTTCCTTGTACGGGTGTCACAAAGGTGTCACAAGGGGTCACAGAGAGAAATAAACATGTGACGGAACTTGCGACTCTTTCCCAGAATATCCCAGACATAGAAAAGAAGTGTAAGCTCTGTGGTCTAGCTACAGTGGGCAGGAAACACTCCCAATCATTCCATGCAGGAGGGACTTGCAGGGGGAGGCATAAGAGGCAACTGCCCTGGGAGCTTCAGCAGGAGGGGGAGGGGCCAAAAAGGTCAAGAAATGCATAAGGCAGAGGCATACTGGGAGTTGTAGTTAAAGCGCAAGCCGGAGCAGCCCACCCCTGAATTAAGTTCATTTATTACATAAATATCACATTTTAATAAAAGTGAAGTTCTCCTTTAGAACTTTTATTTCTAGTTTTAGATTTTTATAGTTTGTTTTTTGAGTGTGTGGAGGGATTAGACACCCCGTCGGGTTTTTAATTCTATCCGAGACCGACCGCTCTCTGTTTTTAATAATGGTCCCTCGTCAACTCCTCCCACGCTCGCCTCCGGGACTTCTCTAGAGTGTCTCTCATCCTCTGGAACTCTTTACCCCAACCTGTCCGTCCGTCTCCCACTCTGACTGCCTTTAGGTGATCCCTCAAGACTCATCTCTTCAGGGAAGCCGATCCCACCTGAACCTGACCACTCAGCCATTCATCCCCACACAGCTCCCTCCTCATGTATCACTGGCCCCTCCCTCTTAGACTGTAAGCCCTCAGGGGCAGGGCCGTCCTCACCATCTTGTCTTGAATTGTATTGTGATTGTAATGTCTTCCTTATATTGTACAGCGCTGCGCAAACTGTTGGCGCTCTATAAATCCTGTAATAATAATGATCATCATCAGGGGTAGCCAAGCTCCGCCCCTCCGGCTGCGGTGGAACTACAAATCCCATGATGCATCTCTCTTCGGGAGTCGTGGCTGTGAGAATCTTGCGATGCCTCGTGGGATTTGTAGTTCCACTGCAGGCCGGAGGGGCGGAGCTTGGCTAACCCCTAATAATAATGACCACTGTTAGTCGGACAGAAAGTGACTGAAAATCCTAAATGTTACAGTTGTCACAAAGAGGGAAAAATCTTCCGGTGGGGGACACCTGATCCCGTGACAACTAAGAGGAGAATGTCCTCGCTTCCTGTTGTGTCACCAGAACAGGAAATAAAAGGTACCCACACAGAAAAAAAAAAAAAGTTAGAGGTTTTGTATACAGTGTATCCGTCCAATGTTCTGCGACGGATCGCAATACCGAAACACGCCACAAGGTGTCCCTCCGGTTCTAAGAAATGACAGCAAGGGACATTCAGGTTCCGCAGTCCAGTCCCCTCATCTGACCCATAGAAGAGGAGATGGATTGTGTGATCACATCCCGGGGCTGACGAGAGATTATCACTCCCCGGGGCAGACGAGAGATTATCACATCCCGGGGCTAACGAGAGATTATCACATCCCGGGGCTAACGAGAGATTATCACATCCCGGGGCTGACGAGAGAATTTCACATCCCGGGGCTGACGAGAGAATGTCACATCCCGGGGCTGACGAGAGATTATCACATCCCGGGGCTGACGAGAGATTATCACATCCCGGGGCTGACGAGAGATTATCACATCCCAGGCTGACGAGAGATTATCACATCCCGGGGCAGACACATTGTTGTGAGATTGAGAAGCGGACAGGACGTGCACTTTGTTTTGTCACATTTGTATCTTTTATAAAGTTTTGTTTCTTGGTTGCCAGGAAACAATCTGTTTGTATTTGAAGTTCGCAGACATAATTTTTTGTCTTCTGTACGGAAAATAATAAAGTTTCCAGATTGTAGATGTCAGTATGAAACACGCGTCACCCTCAGGGCCGGATTTCCCACAAGGGGCGGCAGGGCGCAGAGGGGCGGCAGCGGTGTCCTGTGGGGAACAAGCCGAGCTAAATGTTTGTTTACAAGTGATCTCAGTGATGTCGCCGAGATCACATGTACAAC